TTTTTTTTTTTTTTGGTAGAGACAGAGCCTCACTTTATCGCCCTCGGTAGAGTGCCATGGCATCACACAGCTCACAGCAACCTCCAACTCCAAGGCTTAGGCAATTCTCTTGCCTCAGCCTCCCGAGTAGCTGGGACTACAGGCACCCACCACAATGCCCAGCTATTTTTTGTTGCAGTTTGGCTGGGACCGGGTTTGAACCCGCCACCTCCGGTATATGAGGCCAGCGCCCTACTCACTGAGCCACAGGCGCCGCCCACTAGAAATGATTTTTTAAAAGGTCGTTCATTGAAAAAAATTGTATGGAAGATAAATTCTTGAACTCTTCCTACCTGTCTCTCAAAGTGAATTCTTTGGATTTCCTTGAGATAACTATCTAATCACTATTTTATGTATATGTATGTGCAGGTGTGCCTTAGAGTATACAGATAGTCCTTTCCTTCCATGGTTCAACTTATGTTTTTTCACCTTGGTAACAGTGCAAAAGTAATGCACATTTAGTAGAAACCACACTTTGATTTCTCACATACTCATTCTGTTTTTCACTTTTGGTACAATATTCAGTAATTACATGAGATATTCAACACTTTATTATAAAGATCTTTGTGTTAGATCAGTGGTTTTCAACCTTCCTAATGCTGTGGTCCTTTAATAAGTTGAGAACCCCTGTGTTAGAGAACCCCTACTAATTTTACCCAGCTATAGGCTGATGTAAGTGTTGGAGCATATTTAAAATAGGCTGGGCAGCCCACACCTGTAGTTCCAGCAACTTAGGAAGGTAATGCAGGAGGATCTCTTAGGCTTAGGAGTTTGAGGCTACAGTGTGCTATAATCCTTCCACTGTACTTCAGCCAGGGTGACAGAACAAGACTCTCTCTCAAAAACAACAACAAAAAAAGGAGGCTAAACATGATGTTAGGTGAATTAAATAAATGCATTTTGACTTATAATATATAGTGGGTTTATTGGAACATAGCCCAATTGTAAGTCTAGGAGCATCTGTACATGTAGTTGTTTTTTAAAGTGTTATCATATATATTCTACCATTTGATTTTTCTTTCTTTCTTTTGAGACAGAGCCTCAAGCTATCCCCCTGGGTAGAGTGCCATGGCATCATGATCACAGCAACCTCCAACTCCTGGACTCAAGCGAGTCTCTTGCCTTAGCCTCCCAAGTAGCTGGGACCACAGGCGCCCGCCACAACGCCTGGCCATTTTTTGGTTGCAGCCATCATTGTTGTTTTGGCGGGCCCGGGCTGGGGATTCGAACCCGCCACCTTAGGTGTATGTGGCTGGCGCCTTAGCCGCTTGAGCCACAGGCGCCGAGCCGATTTTTCAATATAACAATATGTTTTGAAATTTTTCACATTGTAACATATTAACTTAACCTCCTGTTGTTATCGGTTACCTGAATTTTTAGAGCATGGATGTACTGTAACTTATTTGGTCACTTTATATTGGACATTTTAGGTTGTCTTCAATTTTTTTTTCTCTTATAAATAACACTACAGAGGATATCCTTGAGTATTTATTATTTCCATCTTTATGAGCTTTTCTGTAGGTTGTTTACATATTTATCAGCACTTCTCTTGTTTTCAGTGAAAAAAGTTGCCTGTGAAGAAGTGAATAATGATCCAGATGAGTCTGTGAGTGCTATAATTTCAGACTCAGAAAGATCGCCAAAGGATACTCAGCCAGCTGAAGAAGAAGAAGAGCCTCTGACTTTATCAGGGCAAGATTCAGAACAGGTTGCATTAAATCAAAAGAAAAGGAGAAGTAAGAATCAAGAAGAAGCTAATGAACAGGAAATAAACAGTGCTTCAGGAAATGCCACTGTTCACTCAAACCCGTCTGAAGGAGAAGAGCTCCAGAGTAAGTGTCTCACATATTTTAACAGCCTCTGTGTTACTTGAGAGGATGTGTTACTTGAGGTATATTAACTAAAATACCTTCCTTCTATTTTATCTTTATTTATTTATTTTTATTAAGTCATATATACATAGATCATGAATACATTTATGCCTTTGTGGGATTCAGTGTGTTGATTATTTGTAAAAATTGGAGTGCTTACATCCTACTACTTTACATAGCTTTTACCTCATTTACTTAATCAATGTTAAGACATTTGTATTCTATACTTGATAGATTTGACTCGTACCCTTCCAATATGCTCCAGAGGTGTGGTCCCACCATTAATCCTCCCTCTATTGAACCACCCCCATCCCTTCTCATTCCTCTCCCCTTCCCTCCTTTATCCTGGCTATAGTTGTGATTCATCTTTCATTAGAAAGTGTGAGTGATTATAAATTGGTTTCATAGTAGAAAAATATGGAACGCTTGACGAATTTGCATGTTATCCTAACTCAGAGGCCATGCTAATCTTCTCTGTATCATTCCAATTTTAGTATATGTGCTGTGAAGCGAGCACAATGCCTTCCTTCTAGATAGTAACAGTTAAGCAATTAATCATGCTTATTAATGAGTTCTGTGTTTGGACTGGTTTAAATCTTAATTAAAATTCATTATAAAAAACACAATTAAAGGGCAGTGCCTGTGGCTCAAAGAAGAGGGGCGCCAGCCCCATGTGCTGGAGGTGGTAGGTTCAAACCCAGTCTCAGCCAAAAACTGCAAAAAAAACCCAAAAACCCAAAAAACCAAATTAAGTGGGGAGATTTTTCTCTAAAGTTTGTTTCTAAGCTGTATCACAAACTATGCATTCCTCTTAACAGTGAAATCGGCTCGGCGCCTATAGCTCAACCGGCTAAGGCGCCAGCCACGTACACCTAAGGTGGCGGGTTCGAATCCCCAGCCCGGACCCGCCAAACAACAATGACGGCTGCAACCAAAAAATAGCCGGGCGTTGTGGCGGGCGCCTGTGGTCCCAGCTACTTGGGAGGCAGAGGCAGGAGACTCGCTTGAGCCCAGGAGTTGGAGGTTGCTGTGAGCTGTGATGCCATGGCACTCTACCCAGGGGGATAGCTGGAGGCTCTGTCTAAAAAAAAAAAAAAAAACAAAACAACAGTGAAATCACACGTATGTAGTTAAATGTACATTGCTTATGTCTGTTAATAAATGACAGATTTTTATGTTGTACTGCTACAGAGTGTCTTTGGGAACCCACAGTGGGTTGTTTAATTTTTATAAAAGACCTAATGGAATAAGTATTTCTCTCATTTTTCTTTTTTATCTTAGAATGCAGGCATATTGACATGTAGGACTTACTTGGGGGTGAGGGCTAAGAGTTTAGGGGATGCTTGGTCCCTCTCCTTAGGAGTTCATATACAGATTATTTAAAAGAAGATAATTAACAAAGAGAAGAGGAAAAGGAACAGACCAAAATAACCTTTTATAAAATTTATAATCTGTGTGTTGGCTTTACTAATATGATTTTAATACATGAGTTTTGGTCATTAATGTATGATTTATAGGCATTACAATATTATTCTCTTTTGTGGCTTACTAGTAGAGCCATTACGAATAAAGCGGAATAATGATTCAGAAATTAGATTTTAGAAATCAAACAGACCTTGCTTTAAATTCCAGATCTTTTATTTGCTAAGTATGTGTATTACATTGAGCAAGTCACTTAAAAATCTCTGAACTTAGGTGCTTCTCTTTGTGATGGATTTAATATTAATACCTTGAAATAGAATTATTTTGAGTATTAAATGAGATAATACATCTGATGGATTTAAGAGTTCCTGCTGCATTGTAAATACTCAATAAGTGATAACTATCACTGTATTATTATTACACTTCGGAAGGAGCAAAAGAATAGCCAAATCTACTTTTAGTTTCTTGACTAGACTCACTTTAATCACTTAAAATTTAATCAAGATAAGGAAGATGCTGTAAATTGCCATGGAAAAGGGGTGACTCTAAAAACACCAGTAGTTGTATGTTGATCGAATTTTCTTTTTGCTCTAAAAATAAGATGTATTTCTTGCAAATGACAGCTTGAATATTGAATGGATTAATGTTTTGTAGGAAAAGATGATGTATGTAAATTCCTTTCTGCTTTAAAAAAATAGATGTTTTTGCTGTTACGTTTTAGAATAATGTGCATTCTTTATTCATAGCTGAATGTCAATCTTTAAAGCCTGAGGTAAATGAAGATGAATGCAATAAGAAACAGAAGCTTTCCTGTGTACAAAACATAGATGACAATGCAAGTTTAGCTTCCAGTGAAAAAGTTGAGAAAATAACTGACCCCATCCTTTCATCAAGGTATCTTCTATGTTTTTTCTGCTTTTCCACATCTGTTGATTAGTGACAGACCAGTGTTGAAGTTTCCAGCTGCGATGGTGCATTTGCCTATTTCTTTTTTCAGTTCTATTTGTTTTTTCTTCATGTATTTTGAAGCTCTATTGTTAGTTGTGTACATAACTAGGATTTCTGTGTCTTCTTGGTGAAATCTCCTTTGTCATTTTGTGCTATGCTTTTGTATTGCTTTTCTTACCTGATGTTTACTTTGTCACTACAGCTTTCTTTTGGTTAGTGTTTGCATGGGTTTATTATTTTCCATTTTCATTTTATGTTTGGGTTTTATTAGTTTAAATATGGAATATCCTGCTATGTGTGTTTTAAATGTGGTTGTCTTGGATATGGTGGCTCATGCCTGTAATCTCAGCACTTTGGAAGGCCAAGATAAGAGGCTCACTTGAGGCCAAGATTCAAGGTTGCAGTGAGCTGGGTGATAGAGTAAAGACCCTGTCTCTTAAAATCTATAGAGTAATTAAAGCAGTGGGGTTACTGGTATAGGAGTTGACGAGTTTCCTCAGTGAGACTAGGAAGAGTCTATGAAAGATATAGGAATCTTTTTCTTTATCTTTACAGCACTTTATGTTGCTGTTGTATAGGAATCTTTGTAGTTGGGGTAGCTTTTAGAAATTAGTGGGCAAAGATTAAACTAACTAGTTATTCATTAGATTGTAATAAGATATGAAAAAGGTAATATTGTCTTTTTTCTTTTCCTGGAGTCAAAAGTCTCATTTTGTCACCCTGGGTAGAGTGCTGTGACATCATAGCTCATAGCAACCTTAAACTCTTGGGCTCAAGTGATTCTCTTGCCTCAGCCTCCTAAGTAGCTGGGACTTCAGGACCCTGCCACAATGGGGAAAGCTGAGGTGAGAGGATTTGTTTGAGGCCACGAGTTCAACATAGGGAAACCCTATCTCTACAAAAATTAAGGGAAAAATTTGCGGGGAATGGTGTTGCATACCTATCGTCCTAGCTACTTGGGAGACTGAGCTGGAGAATTGCTTGAGCCCAGGAGTTAAAAGATGTAGGGAGCTGTGATTACACTACTGCACTCCAGCCTGAAGAAGAACCTGTCTCTTTTTTATTTTTTTGAGGCAGAGCCTCCAGCTGTCCCCCTGGGAAGAGTGCTGTGGGCATCACAGCTCACAGCAACCTCCAACTCCTGGGCTCAA